GGTGGCGGTGGCGGTGGTATTGTCAGGGCTGGTGGCTGATTTGAGCTCGCAAACGCAGATAAGCCGGAGTGGGTCGGGATTAGGAGAGAGGGGGGTTGGACGAAGGAGGAGAGGCGCACCTTGAGGGCCTCGTGGGGGCTTTTGGCGCAGGTCACTTCGGCGTGGGCAGCGGTGACGTGGTTGAAGCACTGGTTAAGGAGAGGCCCCAGGTGCCAGGGCAGCGCTGTACCGAGCGTTCGCAGGCACATGGCGGCCGCCCACACCACCTATTGTTGCCGTAGTACGACACAAGACACACGCCACACACGCCACACACGCCACACGTACCCACCCGTCCGTCCGTCCGTCCGTCCATCCATGCACGCATGCACGTTCCCCCCCCCCACGAGTATACCCCGCGCTATGAGGTGGATGCAAGATATATAGAGTGCAGGGGGGGGGTATATGTGGATGCATGTATTACGTGCCTGCAAATCGGCGCCGGCGGCGAGGAGGGGCGGAATGGCATCGGCGACCAGAGTGGCGTGCTGGGCGGCCCCTTCTCCCAGCAGCAGCACCACGAAGCTGTGGCGCAGCAGCAGCAGCACCGACGGCGGCGGCGACCAAAGGCCATGCGGCGTCAGCAGAAGCCATGAGTGGAGATTGGGGGGGGGGGTGAAGACCTGATTTCCTGGAGCAGGGTGAGGGCCAGGCCCGGGTTGGCAGCGGGGGAGGACGGGAGGGAGCCCACGAGAAGGCGGAGGAGCAGCTGCTGCGCCCCTTCGCCCATCCTCTTGGCAAACCCCTCCCGCACGATGAACCGCACGCATTCCCTCGCCTATCGTGTGTCGTGCCGTGTTGTGTCGTTGAAGGAAAAAAAAGGCGGCCACGGAAGCACCACGGCCCGCAGAGGACCGAACACGTCGACGGACCGGTCGTGCGATACGCACGCGCAAGAAGAAGCCATCGGTAGGATTGGGGGGGGGAGGAGGCGTGTCAATAACAGGCGCGCAAACCCGGGCGGGGAGGCCTGTGAGGGGAGCGAACGGCAGCTGCACGCGGCACAGCGATTGGGGGGGGAGGCTTGCCTGCAACAAATCCAAGGCGGGGTCGGCAGGCGCGGTTACGCCGATCTTGGTGTTGGCGAGGGCCTGGTGCACAGACGCGCGCGAGGCATACGGTGTGTGTCGTGTAGCCGTGCCATGTCATGCCGTGTCGTTGGTCGTGTCGTGTGTGAGAGACGAGTGCAAGGAGCCCTTGGCGGTGCTCACTACGGCAAGAGCCCCCAGCGAGACGCCATTGGGGGAGGGGGGGGGTGCTGAGTGCGTGCGTGCGTGCGTGCGCACATTACCTGGAGAGTGTCGAGGGGTGAGTGTGCCCTGGGGGCGGCGAGGAGGGCGAGGACGGAGGTGAGGACGAGAGCGAGGTTGTCGGCACTCTCGAGGGAGGAGGCGGGGAGAGCTTTCAAGTAGGCCACGAAAGCCTCGGCCAGCGCGCCGCGCGCCTCTCGCTTGACGCCACCTGCCGCGGCCCACCACACGCATGAGTCTTGTGTCGGTGTGCGTGTGCCCGCGCCACATCACGCATTGCGACACGAGACTCACTCGGGGTTCTCCCGCTGGGCCTCTGCTCCAACCACCATTGGGGAGGGGGTGATGGGGATGGGGATGGGGAGGAGAGGTACTCTTGTTGTAGAGGAAGGCGAGGTAGGCGGCGGCGCTCTGAAGGGTCCATATGATGTCCTTGCTGCTGCTGCTGCTGCTGCTGCTGCTCTTTTTGGCGGGCTCCTGGGCGTGCGTGGCGGAGGCCTGCTGTGTCTGTCGCTCCACGGCAAAGCTGAGGAGAGCTCCGAGGGTGCGGCCAGCCGTCTTACGCACTGTCGCGTGCGGTCCGCCCATGTGCTGCATCATCATCATCATTCATCGTTATCCGTCGTTATTCATCATTATTCATCATCGCGGCGCCGTCATGTTCGGTCGGCACGCGCAACCCGTTCTCTCCTTCTCGGCCGTAGGAGAAGGAAGAACACACGTGACGCACACGCACATGGCATACACGCAATACGATAATACGATAATACGTATCGTGGCGGAGGAGTCTGTGCAATGGGGATAGGTCGTACCTTCATGAGGCGGGCGACGAGCTTCTCGAAATCGGGGCCAGTGGGGCACTGGATACGTGCCAATTCCCGAGCACAGTGCATGGCCTCCACGAGCACGCCCACGTGCTTGTCCTGGCGGTGTGTCAGTGTGCACCATCACGTCATCGCCATCATCGCCATCGGCATCATCATCATCGTCGGCAGGCG